TTGTTAAAGGCCTTCTTCCTTCACCGGCAGTGGGCCAGGAGAGAGGATTATCACCAGCTGGAGCAGGTAACCGGGTTACCCCGGGCAGAGATCATCCAGTGGTTTGGAGACACGCGTTACGCCCTGAAGCACGGTCAGCTGAGATGGTTCCGGGACAATGCAGGGCAGAGTCCAGAGCCTGCTTCCTCAGGTGGACCTCCTCCTCTTCCTCCTCCTCCTCCTCCTCCTCCCCAGCCATGCACAAATCCTCCAGACACGGGCCCCCTGGAACAGTACTGGGACACCCACACACAGCTGCAGGAGAATGACTTGCCGATGCTCTGCCGCAAATCAGGAATGAGCCCGGAGCAAGCGTTGGAGTGGTTTCGCTCGTACTTGCCCGCGCCGTGCGAGGTGGAGGTGTGTTTGGGGGACGACGATGAGGAGGTAGACGAAGAGATGGCGGCCGCGATGCTAAAGGCGGAAGATGAAGACTACGAAGAAGAGGAGGATGTGGAAGAGGAGGAGGATGAAGACTGAAGGACTTTTGTGTGGGTGCTGGAGGTTTTGGGACTTCTCTGATGAGCAGGCGGAAGGATCAGTGAGACAGAGTAGTAAATCCTGGGAGCCAGGTTTCTGTCCTGACCGTTTCCTGCTGGTAGCGATGACTACTGCTAGAATGTTTTTTTTTTCCTTTGAGCCACTGAATTTAAAAACAAAACTATACAGTGTTTATCAAGGGAGAATCACAATGGTATATAAAGAGGGGGTTTCCAACCCTTCAGATGTGAGTGGCCATGATATATGAATGCCTTCAGCAATCTGCAGGGTCTCAAATGATTTTTCTGAAAAACTTCAGTCGGTTAATTGCATTGTTTTGGTTTCATATTGCTTCCTCTAGATGTTTTCCTTAATAATTATACAAATAATTGTTGTTTAGATCCCTAACCCTGAAGCCCAACAATTGCCTAATTTTGTTATCTTTTTTAAAGTATACAGATGTTTGGAATACAGATATTTTTCATTTACGCTTGGATTTATCTGTCTTGATTCTGTTTCTTCCAATTCATTTATTTTTTTATTCGAGTTTAGAAACTGGACTGTTGATTACCAGAATTGCAGAGATTTGGCAAGCCCACTCTTTCCAAATTCCATGAAAGCCATACATAAGATTTAATTGGTCTAATCTCACAGGCCAACTATATTTTCCTGAGTAAATGAACAGTTATATGCTTGTCGGTGCTTATGTTTTGTTTTTATAAGCCAGTTCTTTGAAATCAACGAAATGTAGAAGACACACTAAAGCTATCTTTCCTGTTTTCATGCCTTCAAGATACGTTGGGACTAAAAAAAATGTTAGTTTCTAGACTAGTACTTAAGATGGTGATTGTAGCTGTTTTATTCAAATTGATATTTTGTCATTTATCTTCCATTTTCATTCTCTCCTTTATTTAAAAAAATAATTTTTGGAATGACTTCTAATATCTGCTCTTGATGGTCTTTATCATGTGATCCATATCATTTCTCTTAATTGCTCTGTTTTCTTTTCCTTGTTCCGTTAGTGCCTTGATTCAACAGCTTTCCCAGCCATGCAGTTTTTCCATTCAAGTCATATATCTGGTCTGTACTAGTTGGTTGATATAGAGAATTCAGGGCCAGTTAGAGACATTGTAAGTTAACAAGAGTGGCCTCTTGGAAAAGAAATACAAACACTCCTAAATGCTTGGTTATCTTCATTGGTCAAACTCTCATTGCCCTCAGATTGATGGGGAAAACAAAGCCCCTACATTCTGAGAATAGCTTTTGAGATTATTTTGAAAGAAAGTAAAGAGGAATTTGGTAGTTTGTGAAAGTATGAAGAGGTAGGAGACTAGACAGAGATTAATCATCTGTACTTTAAAATTTATATTTATTCAATACCATTTTCAATTTTTTAAAGTAGAAACTTTACAAATATATTCCGCAGGCAAGAGAATTTTAAAGTATTGAAATAACCTTAGGTAAAAAGAAAGTGGAACATGGATTATGCCGTACTTAGTGAAATGTTCAAAGGCTGTAACTTGTCCAAGAGAAAACTGAGCAGAATAATTTGGTTTGTGGATTGGTTACTTAATAAATTGAGAGTTAATAGATAATTATGTTCAGTAAATTATATCTGTCTTTTTCCTCTTTCTAAGTATGGTCTTTTTAAAGGCTTTTCTGTTTTGTTTTAGTTCTGGGAAACAACATTGGTTGCAAATACAATAATCCTACATTATGAGCAACCTGGGTCAAATTGTTTGAATATTTCATCTTGGAAATATACAAAGCATTTTAGCTCAGAGAACATACAACGTAATACATTTTCTTATCAAATCTACTCACAAAGTAAGATTGGCGCTAGGACTCACAGGTTACTTAATGGGCTATAATTGACAGTTAAAACATCATGTATCAATAATGCTGCCACGGAGTTCCCCAGCTAATTTTAGCCATTTTCCTTTATAAGGATTTTTTTTTAAATTATGTCACATATGCTAAGTACCATAAAAATACTTTGCCTTGTATAATAATTTTAATTTATTTACTATGATTCATACACCAGTCAGCTTCGAGCAACCGTGAAGCGGCTTATTTCAAGTCAGAAAAAATATTTAAATAGAATTTTAATCCAAACAGGGTCTCCTAATGGCATCACTCAATTACTAATGGATTGCTTTTTAATCAGGCGCAAATATTCGGAAGATTTATACTGCAGGAAATCTGCACAGAAGAGTCTATCTTGCATCTAAACATTAGGATGGATGTTTAAGAGCACAGCTGCTTTGGTCATCCCCATTATTGCTGATGGATTTGGCTGATGGATGAATACCTGAGGAAAAGTGCAATTAACTAGTTGTGTGGAGCCAGTCTTCCCAGTTTAGGACTACGTTAAATTCTGATCACTAGTTTGGTCAGAAAAAAATATATTCTAAGTTCTGATAACGGCAAGTAATATATTTCTAACATACTACAATTTTGGTTTAACAGAAGACATGAGGAATGAGGAAAGAAAACGGGACTTGGTTCCTTTGGATGTTGCCATTAAGATTTCTAAATCGTAAAGCAGAGACTTAAAAAAATTAACATTTGTTTTAGCAGCAAAAAAACAACAACAATATTATTGCATTTTACTGACAAGGGTGATGAAAACTAGAGGGGTGGGTGGGTAGAGGAGAGCCATAATTTAACCTGGATATGGATTACATTCATTGTCTTTCACAAAGCTGTGATCATGTAACATATGAAAGGGTGAAAATGAAGAATCCCTGTGGGCCTCACTTACCTGTGGGGAAAGGATGGTGTAGAGTGAGGCGTGAATCCCAGCTGAGAATGACAGAAAAGGAAAAGCCATTGAAATGAGTGAAACTTTTCTTCGTGTGAACTACTTGTCTACAAGTCTGTAGAGATTCTGTTATCCAGGTCATGGTTGTCCCAAAGTTGCTTTTTCAAGAGGCAACTGGACTTTCTTGGTTTTTCTTTTGAAGACGTTTCGCTTCTCGTCCAAGACGCTTCATCAGCTCTGACAGGATGGTGGGGAATGGAACCATGACCTGGATGACTGAGAATCTACAGACCTTTAGCTACACAATTCGGGATGAACACCCTTTGAATGGTGTGGGAGTAGGAATGGATTTCCAGAGGGAAAATTGCAGGCTACAGAAACATTAGCACTACCCAGGTGACCCTAAGGACACAGATAAATTTCCAAGTGCTTCAATGACCCTCTAAAAGGCTGCAAATGACCAACTGTCGGCAAGGAATATCAGTCCTTCCATTCCCCACCATCCTGTCAGAGCTGAAGAAGCTTCTTGGATGAGAACGTCATCAAAAGAAAAAAAACAAGAAGTCCAGTTACTCTTGAAAAAAAGCACAACCTGTCTGCAATCGACCTTTTACCTGTAGGGGGCGCAGTCTTTCAGCATTGTGGTCAGGAACAGAAGCACCTGTTGGATCTGTAAAAGGAAAGCAATAGGAAACAAACTGAACAGGAGGGCAAGTTCTGTCAGGGTTGAAGGGCTATCAATCTGTTAATCAATTTTCGCATTTATATGTTATGCTAAGCCTTTGTTTTGTATAACCATTTTGGAATATATAATGCCAGGGTTAAAAATTGCACAATATACTTTGGGCACAGACTGGTAATGTCAGGCATGCGCCAAAAGAAAAGAGGACTTTTCTAGGAAAAAGTGAGGGAGATATTAGGACAAAGATTTATAGTTGATGTGATTATTCCTTGTGTATGGTTCCCCTTCTGTTAACTTTAAACAGTGCTGTTCAGTGACAACTTTGGGGGTCATTCAAGCTAAATCCAAAGCTTTGGGATTCACCTGGAGCTAATGGCCCTTAGGTGTTATTATTTACAAATCGTTTTAAGCCAAATTCACATAAGATCACAATCAAAAGTGGTGTGATACTGCACGAAAACTATATGGAATAAACATATATTCGCCAAAGACGAACAACTTTCCTCACCGGGAAAGATGCTGAGGTTGAAGTATGGAGTTTCCTGTGGCTGCCCAGGGTTATTAGCGCTCTGACTTTGTCTCGCCATCGGAGTTTGAAGAGTGAAGATATTGAAACTGGGCGTCTGGGAAGTGGAAGGAGAGGCCCTAAGGAGGGTGGCAGAAGTCCGGGTTATTGTGGGAGACAACACTATATATCTAAAAACAGAAGCAGCACCATCATCAAGGCCTTCCTCCCCCACTTCTCTGGCTCACCTGTAGAATAAGCTCTGCGTGGAGGCTGAAGACGGAGTGGCTGCCAAAGAGAATGTAAAGGTGTTACACCTGGAATGAAGGGTGGGCAGCACATGGAAAGGTGATAGGAAGTTTAAGGGTAAGCATGTCGGGGGAAAAGGATATTGTAAGGTGAGGAGGAGATTGAATGGAAATTGTTTTATTAGTTACAGAAAGGGAGTGTTTTTTCTCTTCACAATAAATTCTGTTCCAAATAATAAGTTGTGAAACGATGCTTGTCTGTAGAAATGAAACCCAGGAAGATTCTTGATTTTATTCCTTTTGGCTCTCTCGCCCTGAATCTAAATATGGCAGAAATTTACTGTTTGTTGACAGTTATACTTCTTACCATTCATAGAGACCACTGGGGTTGTTCTCGTGGTTCTTGAGGTTTGCTGAATAAAGGGGAGAGAAGTTTAAAGGGATTTTCATTTATTTAATCTCATTTGTATAGTGACTCGGAGCAGCGTACAACAAAGCTAACAACAGTGACTAAATATGTAAAATCGTTGCAAAAATATTAAGAACTATTTTAAAAAAAGGCCAGATGGAGGGATGTTAATGGAGCAAAAGTACTAAAAGGGCAATAATTAAAATATTCAGAAACATCTTAGAGCTAACATTATTTATTGTTCTTTGTTGCAGATAAACCAATTTGGGGATTTGGGGCTTTTAGGATTCCCTTAGTGAAACCACCTTTTTAACCATATTACTGCGAAGGAAATGGGGGTCCTGCCCAACCCACGTGCAGCTAAACAGAAGAAAGAGCCCAGAATGTTTTATTTTCCCAAAACAGCTTTTCATTTGGGCAGATGGTAGCAGTGGAATTTTATTCTCAAAACTACTTCAAATAACTGCAGGGAACAAAGCAGCCCGTCCATGGTTTCACTTTCCTGGGAAAAGAAAAGCAGTGGCAGAAACTAACCTGCCAGCTTGATGGGTGGCTGGTTCTGGAAGAAATGGAATCCATGGAAGATGAGCGGCTGAGAAAAGAGACACAATAGGTCAAGGAACTATCACGATTACAACTGAAAGCTAAATCTGCAATCGGATGCTCAGTACCTTTATGGGGTCTTTTAAGTATAATAATCAAATTTTGCTGTAAGGGAGCTAGATTGAAGGGACCATAGTCGCAACAAGGAGATTCTAAGGTATGGAATGACACTTCGACTATGCACATGTTAGAATAGACAGCCACTTGTCTGAAATAGTATAGGGTCTCCTGCTTGAGCAGGGGGGGGGTTGGACTAGAAGACCTCCAAGGTCCTTTC